ATAGCCGTGAACTCTGCCATATATTTTTTGTGCGGTATTACAACATATTCCTCTGTTTTTAAGGTTTGTCTGACTTTTATTTTAATTCTAAATATACGACCTTAATCTATTTTATTCTCACATTTATATATTTTTTTTCCAAAATAGTATTTATAATATGATAATCTAGCTAATACACTTAATTAACAAGAGATTTTAGGAATGATACCCTCTATTTCTTACAAATAACTAACTATTTATTTATTATCTACTCAAATTAGTCAACTAACTCTTATATTTAGGAATGGAGGTGGTATTACCTCTAATTTGTTTCTAATATAAAATTCCAATCCATTTTGTCTATAATATTTATTTATTTTTTTTATATAGTCCTTATAGACTATAGTAGTTGTATATTTAAAGGTTCAATCAAATTATAGTTTTAGCTAACATGTATTAACAGGGTATTTTAGAAAAGACAACACATAATTATTATAAATAACTAATTCAATAAACTTTCTTAATTTATTTAGATTAATTAACTAACTCTTATATTAGAGATGGGTGTATGACAGGAGAGTGTTTAGGTTCATGTAACAGGAATTAGTTAACAAAGCTAAGTTAGTTTTGACACGTGTACAGGCTATCACCATTTTTGGGCGTGTATCATCCAACAAAGCTCAACCGCCTCTTCCCCCCTCTCCCCTTTTCTAAATCCCTGTGTGCGCGCGTAATGATATTAGAGCCACGCATTAACATGTACATTCACGTGTTTATAAATGTTTTTACTCTGTAATTACATGAAGAGCTCAGTAAATGGCGAATTATTTTGGCGTCGAACAGTTTGAATTTCAACTAATGACCCAGAAGATGCCACGTCGTAAGCCGAAGGAACTGCGGACCAGGGGATCAGGTATCCTTTTAATTCATATATTCTGGTCTTTTGGTTTATTAGTGATGAGCAAATATTCAATTTTTAGTGACTTCCACTGATAGTTGTTTATTTCCGCGTATGCTTTTTTTTTCTTTGTGTTGCGCTAGAAGGTGGGTTTATTTATTTATTTATATTATTTGAAATGTTTATCAAACTAGAGAGCATTAGATCAGTACCATAGCAAGCTTTATTGCGGTTTAAAAAACAATGAGCCAGCTGATCAATTTGATTAACCCACTAATTCCTGTTCTGATTGATTAAACAATCGTTTCAGAATGAACCACTTCAAACCAATGTAGTTTTGGAAGTAGACGAACAGATAACCTAGAAATGCATATATCTGCCTCTATATGACTAAAAAGAAGCCGATATATATAAATATATGTATTAGTTTAAAATTTAAATCTGAAAAGGATGTTTCTAATTTGATATCCTATATATACATGCAGAAAATTAGGGTCAATTCGTTTAAAATAAAAATAAAAATAATTTTGAAGTCGAGAGGTAAAAATGAGATGAAAATAATATACATTTAATTAATTTTAATTACAGGTAAATTATTTTTAGCACATTCACCGTCTCTACTCTTTACATCAGCTCCCAACAACTCCTTTATATTTAGGGGGTGTTTGGTATTCTCAAAACCGCGGTTTCAGAAGCGCTTTTCCGCAAAACGAGGTAACCTCTCACATATTTACTTGTAATCCGTAAAAGCACTTCTGAAATCATGGTTTGGTTTCTATCTAAACACTCCTCTTATAATAAATCAAAATATATTTTTTTAATTTTCAATGAACTGGGTTTATGACGGGGTCAGGATTGTGTTTTTTTTTGGGGGGGGGGTTATATATAAAAGCCCTCATAGGACGGAGGCTTCAAAAGTTGAAGAAAACGAAGATTATGATAGGGCGACAAAAATTAAAGTAAGGTGTTAATTAATAATGATGCATGCTTTTAGGCTTTTTAGCATAGTTTAAGAATAAAGAAGGCGGGATCGTTTCCTGATGCAGTGAACCTCACATGGTTTTATGTAAACAGTGAACACCCACCATCACTCCACACACACACACATGCTCTCTCTAGGGAACATAACAGATAACACGCACCACCAGATCACTTTCGTTTTATTGCTACGCTCTCTCATCCCCTTTCATACGAGCTAGTGCTTCGTAAAAGCTCCTTTACTAACTTTAATGATCCATTCTACTTGCTGGACAAAAAAAAGTGGAAAGTGGAAACTATGGATGCTTGATCTCTCCTAATTTTAATCTCAAGCCAGCCCGGGATTAAATGAGGATCATATATACGGGGTTGCTTGAATTAGCTTATTTTAAGTGATTTTGTACTGTGCAAAACAAATATACGATGGAAATTTTATTTCATAACGAGCAGAATTGCTTTTTCTAACTGATTCTATGTTTTCCTATCAAATGAGTTAATTAATCCAGGCCTGATCTCTTTTTTCCTATTAAGTTGTCAAATTTCCAGGCGACTCAAGTCCTTATTAATCACCCTGCAGGCAATTGATTCCTCTTTTGCATTATTATTTGGGCAGATTTTTATAATTAAACAACCATGCCCCTGTAATCTCAATTAAATTGCCAACCAGTTAGTTATCAGTTATAATTTCGACAGAAATTACTCCTCTGGTCCTTAATATACGACTCATTTAACTAATTTGATTAAATTAAGGAAGTTAGGTAAGTTAGTTAATTATAAGAAATGTGACATGTTTTCCTAAAACACCATAATCATTTTTCTTAATACCCTTCTCCCTCTTCTACTTAATTATGGTTGAAAGAGTATTCATAGAGTTAATTTAGAGAAAATTGATAAATATGAGAAATGAGTTTTATATTTAGGACCAAAACCAACTCAATAATTGAGTCCTATATTAAAAACAGGAGGAGTATTATTTCTAACTAGTGCTAACCAACTTTGACCCAAAAAAACTAGTGCTAACCGGCGTAGGCACCCAAAATTTCTATATCTATATGCGCGCGCGTGTACACACACATGTATACGATCTTCCAGATTCATCAAGATCAATCCGTCTCTTCGACTCGGTCGTAAGACATTATTAAAACCACCAGATTGAGAAACTTTTCGGTCGAAAAAGAGGCTTTATCGTAATTAGTCAATCCATTGATTAAAGGTCCGTTTGTACAGAGGGAAATGGAGTGGAAAGGAAAAGAGCTCAGTTTAAAAAAAAAGAAGTGTTGACCCCAAAAAAAGAAAAGAAGAAGAAGTGGTATTTAATTATTTTAATTAATTTTTCTTAGTCTTTCATCAAACTTTCATAATTTCATCTTTTTAATTTGTTTAAATTCAGAATCATTAAAATTTGTCTATAATTTCTTTTTCTTCGATTCTTCCATACCTAAGCATAGGATAAGTGTTATACGTAAACAAAGATGGTTGTGGCCCTTGTGGGGATCTACACCACCATAGAGGAAATGCTAGCGACCCTCACTTTCCAGTTAAGTACATTGTTTCTAGCTGGGCCGATTTAATTTGTTGTTGGGGTTTTATATATTTCTCTTTAAATCAAGAAGATTATTGCCTCCTCAAAAAAGTAAGCACGAAAGTTGTTGGAGGCATATCTATGTACACGGCCAACTTTCTATTTTCAATATTATATCACATAGTCCATCCATAAATAGAAAAACAGACCATCTATATAAGTTATAGACTAATAAACAATGACTTGGTTCACGCCTTGCAACGTTTCCAGTGGTAACATAATTTTGCCGATGATATATGTCTTGTCATTAATTAGTGAATATTGCACAGATCGACGTTATATTAAGAACTTGTGCGTGCATGGACAAAGACACGGAATAAGGAAAGACGGAGGATATCTGAGATAACGTGGTCGACCCTCCCCTTATAATATACAGCCTTTCACTTTCTTCTGCAGGCCAAGCCAAGGGCGGATCTTCTAGGTTATTTTTCTGAACTTACTGTTTTTCACCTTCTCACCAGAGTGGTTTAAACAATATTGCTTTCACATCTTCCAATGCGAGTTTTTAAACACGATTCTTCGCAATCCTTTTGCCTGTCAGTGTGGGTATTTATATGTTTAATGGACCTATATTGAGATCCAAAAAGGAAGTTCCAGAACATACACTGCTTCGTTAAAGGGAACGATATCTGATACTATTATCTCTGCTGTAACGGTGCCTCTAACTGGCTCTTGGAAGCGCCCTAGGGGCCTGCCATTGAACTTGGTCTGTTTGAATTGTGACTTAATATTTTGTAATGGTGGGCCCTGTATATGGTGTTTGAATTGTGATGGCTATTTGGCGTGCTTATGCTTATCCATGCTGGTTCAGTTGGGACGGGTGATAATTAAATACTTTACTTACATAATATATTATATTGATATTATTATCTCGTGTCAACTAAACATGAAGGGAATAATTAAAAAAAAAATACCGAACCATTGTATTTTTATACTGTGAATTAAAAAGCACAAGTACAAATCAATTGCTTCGCTTGTAAACCGCTTAATAAATTTAACGAAACATTCATAACACGTTTTTAACAATATTCTTATTTATTTTCCTTTGGACTTTTCTATCATTCTCATCTCTACCCCGCTAACTATATTCTTATTAATAAAAAAAATCGTGCTAAAAAGTTGTTAATTTTTTTGTCATTTAACTAATTTAAATTAATTTCCTATTCTCATCGGAGTTGTTAGAGTTTATAAGACGCACTTTTGGATTTTGGTTCAAAATATTCGTTTCTGCCGGGGGGAAAAAACAATGACAAATGCAGATTGAGTTTTTTTCCCCCCCAGAAACGATCTGATTGGTTGGACTTTGCAGCCCAGATTTGGCCCAATTGAACAGAAGAAAGCGGCCAAGCCCAAACAGACTAGTTTGAATGGGCCTGTGCCGCATTCTGGACTAACCCCTCATCATGTTTTCCCCATCGCTCATGGGTTTTTAGGCTTTTGCCTTCTTGTGTACGGGAAAAAACCCACGCTTCGCCTCCTGGTTCCGTGGCTCGCCCTTGCCCCCACGGGTCTCTTTTTCCTGTTCCTGGACGAGCTCCAATCAAACGGAAATAATAGGGAGCTCCGTAATCTTTTCCCGACGTCGTGGACCCGTCCATGGCTTCCTCACTCCACAGTTCGATCTCTCTCCTCTTCATCGACTTTCTTTCCGATTCAGATCCAGAAATGTGGTCACAGTTTGGTCCCCAAGACTTGCCACACATGATATGACCACCTCTCTCCTTCTCCTATGTCGACAGAGTTGTCCTCTGTGATCTGCCATCTCTCGCTTATGCCAACATCGTCTTCTTCAAATCCACAGGCAATGTGCAGGCGGAGGAGGACGACAACGAGCCCGAGGAGAAAGGCCGCTCTAAAGGTTCCGAAGATAGATTATGAAGGTTGGTGTCATCAGGAATGTAAGATGAGATGAAGCGCTAGTCACGCGAGGCTGCTAAGCGTAGTCTCACAAGGTTCACTTTTTTGCTGACCTTATTGGTCTCGCATTTTCATTTGCTTAATTTGATTTTGGCCACGTTTTGACGCTGAGTTTTATTTTCACGAGGGATTTCCTATAAATTTTATATTACAGAATAGAAGAGAGGATAGTGAAGCTGGAACTCGGGTGGAAGTTTGGTTTGTTTTTGAGAGGATGGGATGTGCAAGTTACTTGGAAAGTCTGCAGATAATTCGTGGTGTTGAGTCAATAGCATAGCATGTCGAAGAAACAATCGAAAGAAAAAGGATCATCAGTAAGTCCTTGTATTTCCTGTCACTAGCTTCTTCGTTACACAGCAGCAATTTCTATGTTTCTATTTCCACTAACACAAGTCTTAATGGCTAATGCCATGGCCTAAGTCGTTTAACACCAATGATTAGCTTGACTCTGGCTGGACTGTCTAAGATTTAGAAGATTGAAAAAAAACAAAAACATTATTCATATCTTTGCACATTGCATTTTTATATGATGTTATTTCTTTGCCAATTGCAACTATTTGCTGGTATTTATTAACAGTAGGTTGGGAAGCATATATCTGTAGAGGCAATTATCCATGTCATGATATCAGACACTTGTGTGGAGCTCTCCACCTGAAAGCCGTAGGCTTCCAAGTATAATTATCTGAAGAACGTGCTCTGAAGCGGATCCAATCATGGAGAGCAAGCTCCATGTCATGAACTTTGCTTCTAAGATCTTCACAACAATTGGCATGCATGCTATAAACCTCCCTAAACTGATACCTGTTACGGTGGCAGAATTCACCGAAATAAGTTGTGTTCACATACTGAATGCGAAAGCCATACGCTGCAACTACGTCTTGATTCTGCACAATATACGAACAGAGGGACCTGTTGACTCGTGAGTTTGGATATAGAACCTTCATGAAATTAAAGTACTTGAAGAATTCAATTGATATCGCTGTTGATTTCAGGAAGAAAAGTCCCCCATCTTGCACGTTACCTCCCCTTTGCTCATAACTTGAGAAATCACACGAGATTGTGAGTTCATTTTGGGGATGAAAGTGTAAAAGTGGACTTCTGAGCCACATTACATCTGCATCCTGCAAAAGCAAGACTCCGGAGTTCAAGCAGTTCAAGTTCAAAGGTAATTGTCCTAGAGTTATCAGTATAAAATATAAGCATAGTAGAAGAGTGCGACTTCTCTGGGGCTCCTTCTTATTCTTTCAATATTTTTCTTAATTCGCGTCATTGAGTTTCTTACTATTTCATTCCTTCAATATATTCTTCTATATTCCAATAAATTTAAGTATTAAAAAATATGAGTATAATTTTCTATAAACTTCTAAACTATTATGTTTTCCAGTGCATGCCACTCAGAAAAGATATATAGTTTAACAAAATAAATGGAGAGAAGTAAGTGACAAGAAGATCGAAAATCTTACCGTGAAGATAATGTTGTAACCCAGTTCAAGAACCTGGAGCAGAACGTAGTTTCTTTTCCAAATGAACACATTGTCATCTGGGCTTGTCGTGGGTTGTGCAATGATGCGAAGATAATGAGAAAAGATGGATGGATAGAAGCAATAGGGATGCAAGGATCTGCAATAGTTAAGTGCTTTTGCGTCCATGGGTATGATCACTAGGTGATTCAAAAATCTCTCTGTCCCTTCCCCAACCTTAAAACTTCTTAGGAAAACATCAATGATAGATCCAGGGCTTGCCCATGCTTCATCTAGCATTGTGAGGATCACTGTTCTGTCGGGCATGGTCGCTCTTGTCAGAACTTGATCCAGTTCTTCTCTTTCTGAGTGTGACTGTTTGGAAGGCAGTGTCAGGTTTAAGAACAAATCAAAACATACCAAAATGTTGCGCATTTACAGGTGTACATCCAATACGATGGAAATTTTATAGGTGAATAGTTGTTTTCATTTCTTGGATCACTGTTCTGTTCCTGGGATTTTATGTTACAAAGCTTTTTCGTTTTATGTTCTTGCGTAACGAGAGGAACAGAAATAACAGACGGAGCAGATTATGATGCCCATGTCAAAATAAGGTTATAACTGTTCTGCGCTGTCACGTCTCAAAATTCCACTCTATCTCTATTTTCATCGTTGTCCAGCAAAGCTTTCGTCTAACTTTTTGTTTCCTCTCCTCTTCTTTTCTTGTTTTTTCTTGCCAACAGGCTTTCATCTTCAAATAATTATTGACCAAAAAGTCCAAAAAAAAAAAAACAGAGCATATAAAAGCAGTGGTACAAATTCACGAATCATGTGGGAAAAATGCAAAATCAAATATGAGAAAACCCAGAAAAGTATTTAGATAGCTAAACAATAATGCTTACAGTTGGTCCCATTCAAAAAAAATAATGCTTACAGTTGGAGGCTTGAGCAAAATCCTTCTCCGACTACCACTTCGAACAAATTCAGAAGAGTGAAACAGAAGGAAGCAAAGGAGGACGATGAAGAAAGCGGCAGTAAGAGAGAGAGACTGCCATCTTCTCAGTCCCAAATCTCTCATCCTTCCCAAGGCACAAATTTTTGCAGACTTTTAGGCCAAATCCGTCCTTTGATGGCTGCAAGTTTAGGGCTTCTTTCGTTTATATATAAAGAAAAGGGACGCCATTGAAAAAGAAGCCAGTGGACTGAAAGGAAATTCCTTTCTCCTTTACCCCTCATAAAGGCAGAATGAATCGTGGAGATCTTGAAAAAGGAAAGGCATAATTCATTTGGATTCACTTCAAAAAGATAGCGCTTATAGTGCCCACCCAATTAAGCACTTGGCGCCCGCCACGCTCCTGAAGATTTGTCATTCATTGATTGTCTGACCGTAATACTGTGGATATAATTGGGTAATAACTTTTTTTTTTTTGGGGCCAACAGGGCAATAACTAATCTTTATAATTTCCAATCTCCCTAGATTTCTATTATTTCCACTTTTTGTGCAACATAGATTTTATATTAAATTTCACCTTTTTCTTAGAAAATAATTAGATAAGTAAATAAAGAAACGTATCTTTTTAATTCTTTCTGTGTGGAGTAAGCTTTAATTTCACATTTTTTTGGGTCAATTTTACTTATAGAAATGATTAAATTAAATTATACATTTTTTAGCAACAGCAAATAAGAAATCACCTTACCTAACATAGGTAGTACTCAAATTGTTGCGGAAAAAAATATAAAGGAATATCATACTGACAAACATCTGGTCCTTATGCTTTATTCAGCCCTTTATTTGGTCATTATATATATATTCCAATTAAGCCTTTGATGTCAAAATTTGTTGTATCATCGTGTCCGGAATTAAGTTGGCCGAGACAAGAACACGTATCAGCAGTCAACCCAAGAATAGATTGAATTTGAATCAACCAAATGCAGCTAAACATCAACAATCGACGATCTTTCCCTAATTTATCACAAAACCATCCATACTTCGTTGAAGTCGCAGATCAATCCCGCATCACATCGTTGATTTTGTAATTGGAAGATGATGCATGAAAACGACAACGCCTAATGGCGAAGAAAACAGGAGTGGAAAATCATCCAATCAATGAACTGAAAAATCAGCTTTCTCAGGAATACATCTTCAAGGGTTTCCCCCAGTTTGGCATTACTTGATCTGAACTGAGAGACGGATAATAACATACAACAGCGGCGTGTAACTTTATACTATTCCTTTGAAAACAAAACGGCCTTTTCTACCAGCATCGACACGAGACAAAGGAAAAGCTCATAACAGCTTTCCCTTCCAGATTGCAACTACACACACTTGTATCTTTCCCTTCCAGATTGCAACTACACTTGTAATTTGTTCATTTCATGGAAACGAACCTTGCTGACTCACAGTTGAGAACGCAACCACAGGTCCAGTTGAAGCACAAGCTTATGTCATGTCCCGCTGATTCTTACAATCGCTTCTTTTTCTTTTTTCCTGATTTTGCTTTCTGATGGCCCCTCTTGAATACTGCTAAAACTTCAATGCTGTGTCGAAATGGCAGATAGAACATATTACCATGCTTGTTTTACTTTGTTCATTTTTGTGGGGAAAGAGAAAGAAGGGGAGGGGAGGGAAAGCTATACGATTAATACTATAATACCATCTAAGTTGATGAGTGCGCATCACTGCAAAGCATGCATTTTTCAATGGAAAAGGGAAGTGCACTACCTCTAGGAACCTAAACAAAACAATAAAGTAGTAGTTGCGCTTCTTAAAATTCCAGCTTCTCAAATGCTTAATCTAATGACTAAAGTCTATGGACATCTCTCAGGTGGCAAAAGGTTTGCATTCAAACTTCTACCCAACCAACAAGCCAAGAGAATATTCACCACCTGAAAGTAACACACACACTCTCACTCAATCAAGCATCCCTGATGCATGTTAAATTTGCTTCAGTTTATTACACATATTTGGGCTAAATTTTATTTTATTAAAGAAATATGGCTTAATTCTGGGCTTTATGCATGGGTTTAACCACTACTTGACTTTTTTTTTTTTGGGTACAAAAAAGTTTAGATAGGCTTGGTCCCAAGAGCTCACTAAAGCCAGAGTATGCTTCTAGTCTTAGAGAGCGTTTACAAAAGTATTTACAGATCACTCACTAACAAAGTTCTTACATCATTAGCGGGGTTCAAACTCACAACCTTGTGATTATAAACCGACTCCTTACCAATTGGACTAACTCTTGTTGGTCACTACTTGACTTTAATAACAGATCAAAATGAATGCAGACTTAAAAAGCCTACTGGACTATGCCCAAACCAAGCCAGATCCACAACAAGGTATAGTTCCAAAACATGTCTTTCACTTTCATAAAAGATATGTTCGTCTACCTCAATAATTACTCAACCTCAAAATTTCCTCGTCATTCAGTAATTTTTTCTTTCCTTCTTTTCTTCTTCTTGTTCTTTTTTGGCTTGGGTATGGACAAGGAAACTGTCAGTGCAATCCAAATTGTTTAATATAAATAAATAAAGGAAACTGAGGAGTGGTACAAAGAAGGTATACAATAAGTACCTTTGGGTGCCAGGAAAAAAATTAAAACCATGGGCTTTCTCCAAGTGCCACGCCTTACTAGACAACAATGCCTTGCAGTCCTGTTGACAGCTTGTTGCATTAACATTAGATAACTAAGAGAAAGGTCGAGCAAGCTTACCAATAAAAATTCATGAATGTAAGTACCTCTTTGAAGCTTTCCCATCCACAACTTATATATATGAGGGTTTGTGGCAGTGACTGTGTGGTGTTATCCTCTGGTGCCTTGTTTCCAACCTGGACCGAAGCTTCCTTAGCACGCAAAACCCAAGGTCTTTTCTCTTCCTTGACTCTTGAGCTCGAGCTGCACTTAACTTGAGTCAGTAACTGGCATATGGCAATACTTTCAATATGAACAAGCTTCATAAGTCTACTGAAAGAACAACCTTTCGGATGATGACAGCACTCTACGCTCTATTGATGATATATTTTGCAATGTATCAACAAGAGATGCGTCTAGTCCTTTCCTGGGAGGATCAATGACAACAACATCTGAGCCCACAAGCCAAGAAAGAGGTTCCTATACAATTTGCAAATGATTCATGAAGTCAGTTTTGAACAACACATGACCCCGACAGAAGCTACAAAACTTCAGGCTCTCTCTTTCTCTCTTGTCCTTGGACATAACAAGACTACATGAAAATATCTACTCAGATTGATGCAAGAAAAATGCAAACCATAATTTGTTTTAATCATCATACTCATATAAATTAGAACACTTAAATTTCGGGAGTTGATAAACGAAACATATGACAAGGTTTTAGATATCCAGTACTGACTTTTGAAGCATCAGCATGATGCCAAGTAATGCTACTCTCAATGGTTGCAGGCAAGCGATCAACCGTCTTCTCGAAAGACAGTTTTGACTCTTTGTTAATCTCAATGCATTTTACAGATCTGCAAGACAACGACCAAAACTATATATTATCCTAATAAACACAAAGTA